GAGGAGGAAAAGAGGAAAAGAGGAAAAGAGGAAAAGAGGAAAAGAGGAAAAGAGGAGGAGAAGGAAAAGAGGACAAGAGGAAAAGAGGAAAAGAGGAGGAGGAGGAGGAGGAGGAGGAAGAGGAGGAGGAGGAGGAGGAGGGAGGAGTAAGAGGAGGGAGGATGGAGGCGGAGGGAGGAGGAGGGAGGGAGGGCTTTTCCTCGCAAGTACCTCCTCCCCCCCAGGTAGTTCCTGCGTGCGTCCTACCCGCCCCCTCCTCCGGTGGATAGTTCCCTTCCCAGGCCCCTTCCGTGTCAGCGCCAGATTTGTCGGCAGGGTGGACTGGACCTCCTCGCGAGAGGTCCTCACATTTTCCGTCGAGCACCGCGTGTGCCACGACCACCGGAGTTCACCTTGACGCGTCAAATGACCCAGCATGGGCCAACAGCTGCTACCTTGGGGGGAATGCTTTTCCGAGGTGCGTCCTCGCTCTTACGCTGCGGACGTGCCCTGGAACCTTGATGAACAACTGCGCGTATGGAGGGCAGACCTAGATGATTCAATTTGTTGTTCGGCAAATGTTCATTTCGAACAGGGATTTCCTTCTTAAGCCCACTGCCCGCTTGCAGATTGACGTGTCCACTGTGTGAGTGTCAATTATACCGCATCGTCCAAACCGTAGGGTCATCACCAGAAGCACCCAGCGGCTGCGTTCGCATGGCGGCGCCGTGCCGTTATACGGCACGCCCCTTGCACGCTTCGTGGCCCCATAAGGGAGCTACACCGAAGGCCCCAGTGGCAGCGCCCGCATGCCGCCGCCACCCCACCTTGGCACACCCCTCACACGCTTCGTGGCCCCATAAGAAGCTGCACCAAAGACCGCATGCACAACTGCGGTACAGGGTCTGGCTTGAATGAGGATCACTTGTTTTTCAAAAGGGGCTCGGTCGTTCTTGTGGTTCACATTCGTTCCGCTACCTTTTTGGCGGCGAGCCCCCGTGGTATTGCCTCGAACTTCGCAGACTGGCTTGGAAAAAAGGGGCTTCGTTCCCTATTTGTCGATCCTCAGGTCAAGCCGAATACACAACTTCGTGATCCTTAGGTCAAGCCGAATACACAACTTCGTATGGGCGTGTCCTTCATGGGAGGGCCCCGACGTGACGGCCATCGGCCGGCAGAGGCCCAGAGTGGGAGTTAGGAGAGGGAGGAGGAGGCGAAGGAGGAGAGGGGGAGGACGGTGGAGAGGGGAAGGAGGGAGGATTAGAGGAGGAAGTGCCCATACCGCCGCCATTGCTGGACTTCGTCGCCACTGCCGGATTCGCCTCGAAATCGGGGTCAGAACGTGCTCCTGCAGAGGTCGGGGTAGCAGCGGTATCGACTCTCGTTGGTTACCCCAGGTCCGCCAGGTCGAGCGAGTCAGAGGGCTCCGCCTGCTCCCACCCACTCCTCCCACAGCATAAGGAGTCACTCGTGGCACAGCTTGAGGCTGGGATTGGAACGCGCCCGCCCCCCACCTCGCAGCCCGGAGGCGCACGTGCGCGGCCCCGTTTCCGACGACTTGGCGAGGGGAACGTTGCGTAGGGCTCGCAGGGGCGAGGGCTGCAGAACTCCCGGTGGGCGCGCCGAAGGCGGAGCACGCGCAGCGCTGACACGGCACTGTCACTGTCACTCACTGGCTGCGCGGCGCTTGGGGCGGCACTTGGCCCGCTCTCGCGCGGCCTTGCTGCCACCGTCGCTTCCGCGCTTCGGCGAACGAGCCATGCGCCGTGCCCGCTCGGGACGCCACTCCCGAGCGACATGCGCGCGGAGACCGGCGAGGGACAAATTCAGGCTTAATTTGCGCAGCGGCGCCGAGGCGAGAGCGACATTGTCGCCCGCTCGCTCATCGACGAAGTGGCGCGCGAGAAGTGCGCGCCGCGAACCGGCGAAAAATGAACGCGGCGCCAGGGCGAGAGCAATGCATCGCCCTTTCACGCAGGATGCGCGCCCCCTTCCACTCCTGCCACCCAGTTTGCAACATGGCGGACATAATTTCCATCTTCGACATTGTATTGCTTTCTCCAGGTAGGATGGGCCGCCTGGATGTGGCGGCTATCGGTAGGCGAGGAAGCAGAGTGGGAGATTCTAACGATAAGGAACAATAATCAGAGTAGGAGTCAAGTGAGCCAGGTCGATCGAATCATGGGGCCCCGCCTTCCTCACCCTCATTCCAACAGCACGAGGGTCAATTGTGACGCAACTTGAAGTTCGGATTGGACCGCGTCCCCACCTCGCAGACGGCAGACGCTCGCGCGCGGCCCCGCTTCCGACGACTTGGCGAGGGAAAAGTACGCGGGCCGCGCAAAAGCGGGAGCTGCAGAGCTTCCGGTGGACGCGCCGAAGACAAAGCGTGGGCAGGGCTCACACGGCAACGCCGCTTTCAGTCGCAAGCTGCGCGGCACGCGCTCGGGCGAGGACAGCATCTCGCCCGCTCTCGCGCGGCCCCGCTGCCGTTGTCGCTTGCGCGCGCCTCGGCGAAGGAGCCATGCGTTGCGCCCGCGCGGGAACGCCGCTTCCGAGCGACATGCGCGCAGAGCTCGGGCGAGGGCGACGAACCGCCGAGTCGCGTCGGGCCCCCAAGCACCTGGCGAGCGAAGCGCCTGCGCCGCGTCGAGGCGGGAGCGCCCCCGCGTCGAGGCAGCATTCGCGCCGCGCTGCCGCGATGATTTTTACGCACGTCTGCATCGGAAAGGGCTCCGCCCTCTGCCGCCGGCCCCCCTATTGCTAGTGCGCGCGGCTGCGCGGACAGCGCTGTGAGCGCTTCTCGTGCCAGGCTCCTCGGCAGCGCTGCGGGTCAGTGTTGGGGCTTCTTGGGAGCCGTTTTGGAGCCTCTTGGGGCGAAACTTGGTGTCTCTTGGGGGTCGGTCTCCTTGCGGGCCTCTTGGGACCTTCTTGAAGCCTCCTGGGGCCCTCTCGGGACGGAAAGGTCGAGTTCTCAGTTCGTGGACTCCCTCTTGGGCCTCTCTTGGAACCATTTTAGGGCCCTTTTGGGTCGTCTGGGGCGCCTCTTGGACCGTCTCGAGGCTCGCTTCGGCCGTCTTGGGGCCGTCTTGGGGGCCTCTTGGGCCGTCATGGGAGCTTCTAAGGCCGTCGTGGGGCGATCTTGGGAATTGGTCCGTCTCGGAGCGTCGGGTAGCCGAAAAGGCGAGAAGGCCAAAAACCTTCGAAAACGTTGGGAAAATAATTGATGTTTGCTTCGTGGGGCCCTCTTGGGAGGCCTTGGGGGCCTCTTTGGCCCATCTTGGCAGCATCTTGGGCCGTCTTGGGGCCATCGTGGGCCATCTTGGGGCCATCTTGGGCCGTCTTGGGCTCCTGAGGCTCTCTTCGGAGCCTCTTCGGGAAATCTTGGAGGCCTCTCGGTCCGTTCTGGCTGCGCGGTGGCGTCACCATGAGAATCATGGGGTGGCCCAGAGCAGCTAGGATTTGAGTCTCACACCCCCCGTCGACTGTTTGGTGACGCGGCGGGGCCCCCTGGCAGACAGTAAACAGGAGGCAGGAAACAGGACAGGAGAGATAAATGGCCAAACAACAAATGACAACACATAACACATGACAGCAGACCGCACACACCTCCGCAGTCTTGCGCCCCCAGAGGGGGCCGGCGGACATACCTAGACATACGCATACGCTTATACATATACAAATGCATGCACGTATACATATACAGATACAGAAACATATACTTGCACATAAACTTATACATTTACACAGACTGCACTTGCGCTTCGAGCCATGTACTTTGGTCCTTCATGTCTGGCATGCAGGCAGGAAGGCATGGCATCGGCGGTGTAATAATGTGATTCGTTATCCTTCCCTCATGTTTCCTCTTCCTCTTCATTCTCGCCCTACCCTGAGAATTCGTCAGCATCCTCAGCTTTTCTTGTGGAGGCTCATCCTAGGAGAGCCTCTTGTAAGTCTCACGAAGGTTTTAAAGGAATTGCTGGGGCCTTCTGGAAGCCTCCTGGGTTCCTTCTGGGGGCCACTGGGGGCTTCCGAGCCACCCTGCTTCCAGCCGCGGTCTCCATGAACAACCAGGTCACGATTTGGAATATGATTCGGGAGGCGTCTTGGGGCCATCTTGGGCCGTTATGGGGCTCTCTTCGGACCATCTTGGAGCCATGCTGGGCCGTTTTTGGGGCTCCTCTTGGACTGCCTGGGGCCCTCTTGGTTAAATTCAGGAGAGGGGGGGGCAGCAGCAGCAGCAGCAGCAGCAGCAGCAGCAGCAGCAGCAGCAGCAGCAGCATGCAGATGACAATGATGACAGCGAGGACGACGACGACGATGACGACGACAACGACGGCGACAGCGATGGCTAGAACGCAAGCGAGGAGGAGGAGGAGGAGGAGGAGGAGGAGGAGGAGGAGGAGGAGGGGGAGGAGGAGGAGGAGGAAGAGGAGGAGGAAAAGAAGGGAGAGAAGGAGGAGGAGGAGGAAGAGGAGGAGGGAAACGACGGAAGCGAGGACAAACAGAACGGGAAGGAGCCGCGCGGCCGCGGCGCCCAGATACTGGCGGACGCCAACGCCAGCACCGCCCAGCAGCAGGCACTGGCCAAGGCCGTTGCCCTGCCGGGGGCGAAATCGACCCACGCCAAGAGATGCCCCCCTTCCCCTCCCCCCCACCCTCTAGAAGTCCTCCCTCCCTCCCTCCGCTTTTGTTTTCTTCCTCCTCCTCCTGGTCTTCTTTCCCTGTCCCTCCCCATTCCCCCATCCCCTTCCCTCCTGCCCGTGCTGCTCTTTCCCCTCCTTCCCCCTCAATTCTCCTCCCCGGCTCCGTTCCCCGCTCCCTATCTTGCTCCTCTTCCCTTCTTTTCCCCCCGCCTCTTTCTCCTCCACTCTTCCCTCCACTCACCGTTCTGCTCTGCTTCTCGTCATACCTTCCCTCCTCCCCCCCTTCACTCCTCTTTCCTTTCTGCTCCCTTCCCCTTACCCCTCCCCCACCCTCTTCTCCTTTTCCCCAGTCCTCCCCGTTCCCTCCCTTCCCCTCTCTTCTCCGGCCCCGTTTCCCTCATGCGCAGGACTGGGTGGGGGAGCGGGAGAGGGAGGGAGCGCTAATGGAGGGAGGATGCGCAGCGGCAAAATTTTGGCGAGGGAGGATGCAGAGAAACAGAGGGGAAGGGAAGAAAGGAGAGAGGGAGCAACATAATGCGGGGGGAGGGAGGGGAGGGGGACCAGAGATCCCCCCATCAAGTATACCATAGTCCTTGCAGGCGCGTGTACGATAGGACTGAATCGCTCTTCTGGCTTCGCGAAACTGCTATCCGGGGCAGACGCCCACCGAAAACTGCTTCAACGCCTTTTGCATCAAAAGGCATCTCCCGACGCGGCTGTTTCAGGGCTTAGGCCACGCTTTTCTGCGCAACCCAGAAACAGCGCCCCCGCTGGGCCCCGCCATGGCATCGCTCGGACGTGGGCATTTTTCTTCCGGCTAGGAGCATCCTTGATCATTTGGCGAAAAAAAAAAACACGCACGAAACCGAAACAAACACAGGGAATGGACGTCCGAGCGATGGCCACCTGTACCCCCCTAACTATATGCCCTGTTGCCACGCTGTCCGCAAAGACAAGATCCCGCCGCCCAAGCCCGGCGCCCAGGCTATGATGTTCCAACCCACTTCAGCCTTGACCACCAGAAAGAATTTCGAGCACCCCAAAAATGCCCAAACTCGAGGGTTTTCACGTGTCGGGCCCTGGGAGACGCTCGTCCGACACTGTTTCGACACTCTTTCGACACTCTTTCGGCACTTTTCCGGGTGCTCGAAATTATTTCTGGGATGTGGTCTTTAAGTACGGACAATATAACGCCCAGGGCGGGCGTTTATTTGCCCGACGCGGCAACAACTTGTGGCAGCGCAACCAAGAGGGTGATCGCATCTGCCGCGGAGCCGCCGCTCAAACACGCTGATCTATGTTGATCGCCCTCCTCCGTGAAGACTACAGTGAGCAAGCGCCCCAGGCCTGGCGTCGCCGTGAGTCTTTGTGGGATTTTCCTTCGCAGTTGTTTCTCCAGGGTTTCTCGGTGCTCCCTGGAGAGCCCGTTGTTCGCTGGCTCGTTTTCTTGTTCGCGCGGTCCAGGAGCGCGAAATTGATTTGTTCGTGCATTTCATGCTTCGTTTGTGTTTTTTCTGGCCGCGTGGCGCTCAAGTTCAATGTCTGGCAAGGTTCTTGGGCAGTAAGATCGTGTCCTATGTCGGCGCTTCGTGGCGGGTAGTTGGCATAGCCGAGAAGTCCGCGCCCTCTGCTACCGCCGTCGAGTTGTTTGTCGTCTTTCACCGAGTGGTCGAGCTTCGGGAGGAGCTCGGAGAAGTCGGCGTCGCCCTGGGAACTCGGCATCGGCAGGCGGGAGGGCGAGACGGACGTTCTCGATCCAGTACCCCCTCGAGGACCCCAGCAGGTCCCCGTCAAGATCCCCCCCCCGAGCCCCGTCGCCCCCGCGCGTGGCGAGCGGCCCCGCGACGTCGGCATTGGGGATGCGCGCGCCCGAGGACCGACGCCAGGAGGAGGAGGAGGAGGAGGAGGAGGAGGAGGAGGACGAGGAGGAGGACGACGAGGAGGAGGAGGAGGAGGACGACGACGAGGAGGAGGACGACGAGGAGGAGGAGGAGGAGGAGGAGGAGGATGCTTGCCGCGACCGCGGTGGCGGGCGCCGAAGGGCTCGGCGCCGCAGTGCTGCGGCGAGCCAGCCGTCGAGGCACCAGTGCCGTTGGCGGGCACGGCGCGGGGGGCGCCAGCACGCGCACCCGCGCGCCCGCGGCAGGGCTCAGCGGCGCGGGAGCGCGGCGCTCGGCCGGAGAGCGGGCGCACGCGCTCCGCTGGAGAGCGGGCGCGCGCGAAGCGCGACGCGATTGTCACGCCGCGTGCGTTGCATGAGCGGCGGCCAGGCAGCCGCGGAGGGAGAGCACGCATCGCCTCCGGCCGCCGCGCCGGCAAGCCGCGTCGGCCGCAGGCACTGTTTGATCGACTGCCTCTGCGGCGTGCGCAGGGTCGCCTCCTCGCGGGCGCGCTTCGCTCCACCATCCGCCCAGGGCTGTGGCAGCCCGGCGGCGTCGTCGAGGCCCGCGCGCCGCCACCGCGTCGGGCTCGACGGTGGCGGGTGCCGCTCGACGCACCGCCGAGCCCATCGCAGGAGTGCGGCGCCGCAGTGCTGTGACAATGTTTTGTGGTTGCGTGACGTTCGGATTCTTCTGGCAGCGGGGGGCGGTGCAGGAAGGGCGGGGAATGGGCGCCAAAGGGGTTGGAGGTTGAGGGTGCGAGGAGCAGGGCGGGTCCAGAGCGGAGGGGAGCGAGGGCCATGTCGGAACGCCGGCGAGGACAAAGAACAGCAGGCGAAGGCTTTGCGCAAGGACCCCCTGCCCATCTGGCCATTATCCTGGCGCCAAAAAGCTCCCTTCTTCGTCGTCGGCAGGGATCCGACGGCAGACGATCCAGATGAGGCGGGGGAGGAAGCGCAGGCGCTGTCCAGTGATGATGTTGTCGACAGCACGGAGCTGGGGGGGAGAGGCACGAGGTTGGATGGAGGAAGGGGCGAGAAGGAGGAAGCAGGGATGAAGGAGGCAGGATGGAGGAGGGAATCGGGCGGAGGGAGGGGGAGAGTGAGGAAGAGGACCAGGAGGAGGAAGAGGATGGGCAGGACGAGGAGAGGGGGGGATGGATAGGAGGAGGAGGAGGAGGAGGAGGAGGAGGAGGAGGAGGAGGAGGAGGAGGGAGAGAAGACGAGGAGTGGGGAGGAGGAGGAGGAGGAGAGGAGGAGGAGGAGGAGGAGGAGGAGGAGGAGGAGGAGGAGGAGGAGGAGGAGGAGGAGGAAGAGGAGGAGGAGGAGGAGGAGGAGGAGGAGGAGGAGGAGGAGAACTGACGCTACGGGCCGTGGCGCCCAGCAGCCTGGCGAAGAACGGAGGAGGGGGAGGAGGAGGAGGAGGAGGAGGAGGAGGAGGAGGAGGAGGAGGAGGAGAAGGAAGAGTGGAAATGACGAGGCCAAGAATGGTCGAGGAGAACGGGGAGGGGGAGAAATATAAAGACGAGCGGAGAATCACGGCACGCGCCACTTCTGCCGCAAGACATCCTCTCGCCCCAAAGCCACCCTCGCACGGTCAACACGATGAAGCGTTCCTCTTCGCAACGGCGAGCTACCGCTGGAAAGATGAAGTCCCCACGGACCCGCCACGGATTCAGAAAATGGGTGCTACCCCTCCTCCACCCTCCATTTCGTCCTCTTCTTTCTTCTCATTCTCCTCCTCATCATCCTCATCATCATGCTCATCATCATTATCATCAGAATCATCATCATCATCAGCCTCGCCATCCTCATCACCATCATCATCATCATCAGCATCATCAGCAGTATCATCAACATCATCATCAACATCACCATCATCATCATCACCATACATCTCAACATCATCAGCAGCAGCATCATCACCATCATCAGCATCATCATCATCATCATCATCAGCATCAGCATCAGCATCACCATCAGCATCAGCATCATCATCAGCAGCATCGTCATCATCATTCTCTTAGTCATCCTCCTCCGCCCCCTCCTTCCGTGCCAATGGTTGGTTCAAGGCTCTGCAGGTCGATGCCGATGCATCCCCTCACCTCTCTGCTTCCCCGGACGCAGGACCGTCACCTCCGTGTTGCACGCCTTTTTTGGGCCGCCCTGCTTCGCGCGGCTCGCGCCGTGGGCAAGCCTCTCCTGGGCCTGCCAGCTGCTGCCACCGCGTTCCGCGCCAATTCGCAGTAGAACAGGAGGATGCGGGAGTGCGGTGCCACGCTGGGGATGGCCGAGAAGACGACAGATGGTTCATTTCTAATTATTCAAAAGTTCTTGGGTTTCTTGGGGAGCCAAGATCCTTTCATTTCTAACTGTTCTATCCTCAGCTTCTTCCTGACCACTAGGGGGCCAGGAGCACTTAGAAACAAGCACAATTAGAAATGAGCAGGATTAGAAATGAACGACGTGTAGACCAGGAGGATGCGGGAGTGCGGTGCCACGCTGGGGATGGTCGAGAAGACTAGCGAGGACGAGGAGTGCCTGGATGGTCACCTTGCACGCCATGCCGCTGAGTTTTGGCGCGATGAGCAGGCTTGGTCGTGCCCAGCCGATGCACTGCCGATAGCGTGGCAGATATGCAGTGCGCTAGTGTACCCGGACGAGACGAGGCAGTTGCGCAGACCAGCCTCCTAGTGCACCGCTTCTGCCTCGCCAGTGCGATCAACATGGCCGGGCAGGATGTGCACGAGTGCAAGAGGAGCTGTTTGGGCGAAGCGCCAGTGTGCCCGACGGGGGCGGCCACGGACAGATGCATGGCTGACGATGGCGATCGTGATCGCGTGGATATTGGGTGCTCGCTGGTGTGAGACCACATCGTGAAGTTTGTATTTTTGATCTCGTCGACGGTGCCCAGTCCTGGGCGTGGCGATGGTGCCCCTGGTCGTCACACGGACTCGTACGACGAGGTGCACGGGCGGGAGCACGTGGATATCATTATAGGTCGGTGGTGATCTTGCTCTCTCTCTCTCTGATATCGACCTGTTGCTTGCTGATGGTGGTCGTTCAGCGTGACGCTGGAGATCCAGAGCGTGCTGCTGGTCCTTGTCCGGGGAGTGCTGGTGGCATCCTAGCCAGGCCGCTGCTCCTCTTGACCTTGATGGCGGTGTCCTACTGCCCGACACAGCCCAGATCGTGCTCGAAGCGCATTCGCTCACGCTCCCAGGGCTGGATCTGGAAACCGTTGCCGCCGATCGCGTCGGGGCGACTTGCATCCGGCCGCGCGAACCTGCGCCTGGAGCGCCAACCTTGGCGCGCGCCGACGGCTTGGTCGCCAGATTGCTCCCGCCCCGCTGCTGCGCCGCCGCCTCCCAGCGGGCCCGGGCACGCGCCAGCCCGGCCCGCAGACGCGAAGGTCCGACGGCGCTTCCCTCCCGACTCGACCTTGCCGGGGTCTGCCGCCGTAGTGTGGTAGGGCCTTTTTGTCCTCCAGGCCGCACTTTCACTTCATAGTTTGGCGGTCTTCCGCTGAGTGGCCGTTGGGTTGACTTCCTTGCTTCCCTTGCATTTGCGCCAACCGTCAGCGCTGCCCGATTTTGCGCAATTGGGCCCTGCACCAACAGCGGCAACGGCGTTTTCACTCATTACGGCTATCCGGAATGGAAAGGTCACCACGACGTCCAGATTGCGGCCCCGATTGCCGGAAGTTTGGGCTGCTTCGGTGGCCCCAGACGGCGCATTCATGGTGAACGCTCTCCAGCGGTTGAAGGACAAGGCAGTCGAATTGACCAAAAACGAGGTGCTGAACGACATGCGCAAGCTACAGAACGAGGCCAGCGGTTCGGACGACGACGAGCACCGACGACGTACGCAGCAGAACTCCATCAACCAGCGGCTTGCGAGACTCACCCGTGGCACTGCGAATGCTGGGATCTACCTCTTGGAGACCGACGAGGGGGACGTGGCCACAGACACGCGCACCATCGCAGAGCATCTCGCGGCCCATTGGGCAAAGGTCCTCCGTGGCAAACCAGCGGACGAGGCCAGGCTCAACTCATGGTTGGCATTGGCGGAGCGTGTCGGCAGCCAGCGCCTCGAGGTCCCCTGTGCTCGATGGAGATTGCGTTCGGAAGATATAGAGAGGGCGCTCCGGATTGCGGGGGATTCTCGCCCTGGACCTGATGGGATACCTTTTCCAGGCATGGCGACATCCTGGGCCGCTCGGCGTCCACGTGCTTTGGGAAGCTGCCACACAGCTTGAGATAGGGATGGTTCCAGGCAACAAGGCCCACGACACGTTCAACGAGTCGCTCCTGTGCTGCTTGCCGAAACAGCCGGCGAGAACGGATGCCCGAGGAGAACAGATATTTCTACCAGCTGGCTCTCGACCGCTATCGATCACTAGCGCTGACAATCGCGTGATTTCGAACGCATACCGTTTGCGTTGGCAGCCGATCATGGCACCTGGTACTGCCAAGGAACAGCGCGGCTTTATCCAGGGCGGGTCAATGTTGGCGAACGTCATAGATATTGAGCACGCGGCCGGAACTTCCTGCTTGGGCGGGGAAGACGCGGCCGTAATTCTCTTCGGTTTCACGGCCGCGTTCCCGTCCATCTCATGACGGTACGTGTTGGCCACCGCGAGGTCTGCGGGCTTCCCAGCGTTGGCGATGGAGGTGCTAATATATCTTTGCCATATGACAATTGGCACGCTCCTCCTGCACGGCCAGTTGCACGGTGAGGTACCACTGGAGACGGGCATTCGTCAAGGGTGTCCGTTGTCCCCGCTTTTCTTCGCACTGGCGTCTGACAGCTTGCTACGGATTCTTGGGTACAGATCGCCAACTTCGACTACGCGGGCCTTCGCGGATGACACCGCCATGCTGGTGCGCTCGTGGAGGACGGAGCACCGCCAGATCTCCAACACCTTTCGCACCTTTGAGGCGGTCTCGAACCTGGCGCTCATCCTATCAAAGACACTGGTCATCCCGTTGTGGGAGGCCGACATCGAACAGCTTCAGGAGAGCACTAGATCGGACCAAGCGGCGATCCAAATCAAATGGGGCACGACGGGCAAATATCTCGGGTATTACGTCGGCCCAGGAAAGCAGTACAACTCGTGGGACAAGCCGCTTGACAAGTACACCAGTCGTCTGGGTGATTGGCGCTGGAGCGAGCTCGGCCTGAACATGGCGCTCGTTGCCTACAATGCCTACGTCTTACCAACGATCTTGTTTATTGCCCAGCTTGAAGCCCCGCCTCAGGAGGTCATCGACAGGGAACGGGTAGCTGTTCGGCGAGTGGCGCCTGGACCAGGTTTTTGGCGTTCTTCAGCTGACTTGCGCCATGGTCTGGATATTGGGCTTGCTGCGCACCTACGCCCGCTGGAGATCTCTTGCCGCGCCTCGATGCTCCGCATGCACGCGTGGGAATCTCGACAGGACGGCGGCATTGACTGGAAGGGAATGGCTGCTGAGCTCGTCGCGGCGAGAGGCCGCGCCGATCGAGTGATGAGAGTTGCTCGTTTCTTTGCGTGGCTTGATCGACACATCCCCACGACGGTGCTGGCGGAGAGCGATCGGCAGGCCCGGAGCGGCGCGCACATCCACGCAGCAAGGCCCGCGCTTGGCGGCGTCGCCATGGGACCGCTCACGGAGCAGAAGGACAGGCAATTCAGAAAGGGCGCTCAGAGATGGTTCACCGGCCGCCTCCTTGCTCGCGACGGCTACTGCGTGGAGCGACGTCTCTGGGCGCGCTTGGCCAGGTGGAGTCTGCCAGAATTGCCCGGCCGTGCGGCCCAGCGGGCGGCGCAGCATCTACGGCGCCTCAGACATTTTGTTCCGCCCCGGATACGGGCCGCTATGATCAACACCATCTTCAACCGATGGGCAACGAACCGTCGAATGCGGTCTCTCCGGGAGGGCCGCCGGGTCTGCGTGCTCGGGTGCTCCTGTACAGCGGACGACTCCGTGGAGCACTACATGCGCTGCCCCGTGGGCCAGACATGGTCCAGAAGACGGCTGGGATGGGCTCTGACTCAGACAGAGCAGCCTTGGACGCAACGAATGCTGGCATCGGTCATGACAGACAAGCAGTTGCAACAACAGGCGGTGACCAACTACACTTTGTACCGCGCGGTGAACGATATGCGTAGGCGTCAGATACAGCCGAGTGCGGAACGCCGAGAGACCGCCAACGCGATCATGGACCAGCTCTTGCACGAAGCTACCAGAGACGACGCTCGACTTCGGCGAGTTTGCCAACCGCGCCAGTACAGGGGCACCGTTCGACGCCATGCTGGGGGAGACGCGGGACGCCGACGCGTGCAGCCGCGCTTGGCACGGACGACGTCGTGAACGACACCTTCAACGATAGGTTCCCCGCCCTCGAGCACGAGACGCCGTTGCAGGTGAGGGCTCCTCTCTCCTCCGTTTCTCGTCCTTCCCTCCTCGTCCTCGCTCCTGTCCCCGCGCGTCCCGGCCGCGCGGCAGATATTTGACCGACCACAGACCGCGGCTTGCTCCATTTCCGCGGCTGGCAGCCAAGCGGCGCCAGTCACATGCTTGCCCCTGGGGGGGCCGCGGGGGGGGGGGCAGGGGACCGCCACTTTCCCTTCGTCCTCGTCGGGGGGGCGGTCCTTTGTGATCACCTGGCTTGTGGCCCCCCACGGGTGGGCGCCCGAGGCAAAGACCTCTGATTTCAACATGTTGTTCTTCCCTAATTGATCCGTGTTGCACTTTCTTCGGGCCCGCTGGAGGGCCCGTGAGTTGGCCGAGGCGCCCGTCGAGGGAGATACTCCTCTCCGCCCTCCGTCCCCCTCCCCCCTCGTCCTCCGTTTCGGGTGGCCGATTCTGCAGGCTGCGCCGGCTGGGCGGCGATGCGGGCGGTTTCGCCCACAATCGAGGATACGACGCTGCATGGGTTCATATTTTTCCGGTCTGGGGCCTGGCTGGAGGCCGGGGGCAGGCCCGAACTTCCCAGCACTTGTTGGGTTGATTTCTCTTGGGCCTCGCCAAAGGACCGTGCGGTTTGTCTCGACTCTTCCTCCTCCTCCCCCCCTCCTCCACATTCTTGCCCATCATGGCTGGGAGGAGCGCTCGTTTCACGGACGCTGCTGGCGATGGCGACGTTTTCTTTGCTGTGATATACTCCTCCTCCTCCTCCTCCTCCTCCTCCTCCTCCTCCTCCTCCTCCTCATGCATATTCCGCTATAGGTTCAGCTGTTCTTCACGTCTTTTCGACATTGGGTCCCGCGTTCGCTATTTGTCGCCCCCGGCTTGCACGGCAAGCGACGGTCGCCCATGCAGTCGCCCGGCCGCTCCGGTCGGCCGCTATGTTTGGCCTCGGCCCCGTCGCCATACCACAAAGAGCTTGTCTTGCCTTGTCACGGGTGTCCTCGGACCCTTTACTCTTTATGCTCGTAGCGCGCTGTGAGCGTGTCGCCGCCTTGCCCGCCATTTGTTTCAACCGGCCAGCTCTCCCATCCTCCGTCTACCGTGCTAGTTTTTCCCGTGAGGGCCAATTGTGCGAGTACCGCTGGAGGTATTCTAGAAAGGTGTACGCACGCGCGGGTTTTCTGAGCATGGATATCCCGTTCTCTCTTCCTGTCTCTCTTTTCCTCCCTTCCCCTCCTTTTTCCCTCTTGCTTTGCACGGGTACTGTTGCGTGGCACCTCTGGCTCCAGTTGTGGGTGCATTGATTATTTGATGTTGACCTCATGTATTGCGGCTGAAGAGGCCATGGGATTGCATGAGCCACGACTGGACGTCGCAGGCCGTGAGTGGGTGCTTTACGATATGTCGTGTGTTTCCCTTCTCCCCTCGCCTCTTTCCTCCGCCTCCCCCTCTTCCGCTCCTTCTCTTCCGCGCTTTAGTTTTCGTCTCGCCTGGGAGGAACGGACGACAACGGTTCGGCGGCAAGACAGCTTGCCGACTCCCCGCTCCTATTTCAAGTATCCGGCATCACTTCATGGGGTCATCGTTGCCTGTGGAAAAAAACGAGTTTGCGCAATTGGGTTTAAGAGCTCCGATGCGATTGTTTGGTGTATCCCTGATGCTACTCGACTTTTTTTGCACGCCTTCCTCCTTCTCCTTCCTGTGATCGTCCTCCATCATCGTCGTCATCATCCTCCAATTATCATCCTCCTCCTTCTTCCCTTCCTCCTCTTCCCCCGTCGAGCGATGTGGAAGAATGTGATTGGTAGTGCTTTTAGCGGTACGCCGCTGACTTGTCTTCGGCGGTTCCCAGCCGCCTTCCCCCCTCTCCTCCCCCTAACCTTCCCCCTCACCTCCCCCTCCTCCCCCTCTTCCCGCTCCTCCTCCGCCTCTTCCTCCTTCTTGAACACATGCTCCGACGCACAAAGGACACATGGCGGGAAAAAAAAAGTTGGCATACATATGGTCTTCACCACGGAAACCCTCCTAACCAACCTCCGTTTTGCAGACGACGTGCTACCGAGTCTCCTGTCAAGGCGTCCCGGCTGTCCCCGCGCTGGCGCCAATGCAAAAGCAGAAATATTCATACAGTGTAGAAATGTTGTCACCACAATTTCATGATTCTCTCGGAGCGTGGTAGTGTCAGCACGGTTTGCGCCCACTCTGCGGGTCCGTTGTGTCAGCTGCCAGCTGCGGCCGAGGGACGGCCGCGCAGAGACTTCTTCGGATGTTCAGGACGGTCGTGCCAATCTCGTTGGAGACGCCCTCCCAGATCTCGGCTCGGAGATGCCCTGACCCTCGGTGGTTCGGCCAGTGCCGCCTGAGACATGAGATTTGTCGCAGATCCTTAGACAGTGCGGAACCGTCGCCTCAAACATTTATGGGGTCGGTTCTCGCCTCAGCGACGGCCACATTCCTTTTGGGGAGCGGCGCTTTCGTTTCAGCTCCGGTCACGTCCGTAAGTGAGAACGGTGCTCCAGCCTCAGCGCTGGCCCCGTCCCTGGTTGACGGGGCCCCGGCCCCGTCCCGTCTCCGCTCGGACCACGTCCCCAATCGGAAATGGTGCTGCCATTTCGGCGCATCACGTGCCATTAGCAAGCGAGCGAGTGAGCGATCGGGTGGTAGGGCGTAGAGGAGAAGGAGGCAGAGGAGGAGGAGGAGGAACAGGAGGAGGAGGAGGAGGACAATTAGGCAAGGCCAGGAAGGAGGAGGCTGAGAGGGGGGGGGGGCAGTTGAAGGAGCATGGGAACCCCTTCGACGTTCGCGCCGTCGCCGGCGGCGCCTGCTGGCCCTCCGGAGCCTGCGCCCGCGGAGGGCCCGGAAGAAGGGCGCCCGCCGCCGCTGCGGAAGCGGCGCAGGAGTTGCATACGGGTTCAGAGGAGAAGCCGGCAGTTCTAAGGGCTTTCGACCCAAAAAAAAAGAGGTCGGCCCAACCACGTAGGCAGCATTTCCCAGGCCCGTGGGTCACAAACGTACGACGTGAGAGGGGGGAAGGGACGCCAGAGAGTCTGCCAGAAATGTCCTGGATAACTCCCTGAAGCAGTTCTAAGGGCTTTCGAACAAAAATAAGGAGGGGAAAAAACACACAGACACAATTAATCGTCGATTCCCCCGGAAATATGCGAAAATATGGGAAGTGGGGGGAAGACAAAAACCCAGAAAATATGCGAAAATATGGGACATCCTTTTATTTGTGTGTATTTATTTGTGTGTTCCAGGGCCCCTTCAAAAAAAAACAGTCGGTTCAACTACGTGGGCCAGCTTCCTCCCCGCAGCCGCCGGCCTCGGAGCGCCACAACGACCTGCTGGAACCTGAGGCGTGTCCCGCAACCACAACGTGGCTCCTGGGCAGCGCTTCCCAGGCCCGTGGGTCACAAGTCCAGCCGCGCGTGCTGGGCCTCGACCCCGACTGCTCTCGCCGTCGGAGGAGCGGCGCGGCGCGAGGCTGCCCCCTGGGCGGTTGCGCCGGGCCCAGGCGCGACGGCCTGGCCCGACGCACCGCCGCTTGGGCAACCGCGCGCCACGCCTGCACCAGGGAGGCACCCGCCGCGCGCGCGCGGCGCCGCATCCCAGAACAACAAGCACTTGCGAAGCGCACGCGCCGCGGGGGCAGCGCCGCCCCCCCGCGGCATCCACCCCTGGCGCGCGGCGGCGCGATGATTCCCGCCTGCGCAGCGAGGCCGCGGTCGCGTCGCCCCGCCGCGCGCGCGGCCTACTCGCACAACCCGGCCGATTCGTGCCCGCCCACAACGGTGTGTGTTTGCGTCTTCGAGTGCTCCTGCCGCCGTGGGCCTACCACCACAAGCAACGTGAGGGAAGGAAGGGCATCAGTAGATGCGGCCAACAGAAGTCCCGGAACGTGCTTCGAGAGAGCTGTTCGGGTTTTGAGAAGACGCCAGTCGGCTCAGCTAGGCATGTTTCCTCCCAAAGGCCCGTCGGCCAGTTAGCGTCACGGTGGCTTGCTCGAGCCAGCAGCGTGTCCCGCAACCGCTTCGAAACTCATTCCCAACTCGTGGGTCGCACGCGTTTGCGCAGTTCTTTCGCAGCGTTTCCTGCGCTCGCGCGCCGATCCCGGGCAGCTCCTAAGCAGCGCTTCCCAAACGCGCCAAGGCAGCCTCGGGGCAGAATTTCTCAGGTATGTGGGCAGCGCCTGCGGAGCTTCAAAGCAGCGTTTCTGGGGCTTTTGGACAGCGCCTCGGCAGCTCCTGCGCAGCATTTCCCAGGTTAGCGGGGGCGCGTATGCAGATCCTGCCGCTTCCTGGTCGCGCTGGGGGTCTCCAGGCGTGTGTCCGAGCAGCGTGCCCAGCGCCAGGTAGTTTTCCCAGCGTCGTTCACACAGGCTGCGTGCGCTGCTATCCGGGTGCGCCAGCTGGCGTCGGACAAGCAATCGCTGATGGGGCCACATACTACACGTTCTGAATCGCAACGCGCGACTACAATCTTGAAGTTCCCACCCGCTGGCCGAGAGCGCAGAGGTATGCGTTGGCCCCTCTTGCTGCCTGCCATCACAGTGGACGCGGTTGACCCGCCCCCGCTCGTGGAACAAGGTCAGGCAACCATCTTTTCGATCGAAAACCGCAGCGCGCCAGGCATTGGCTTCCTGAAAGGCATTGGTGTTGGATGTGAAGATATTTTCTTCGAGACCAGCGGCCCGAATTGCCAAACGCGAATATGTGACTGTGGGGGGCCATGGGTGCCACCCCGGAGGCACGGTGAAGCACAACGACCTGGGCAGTTCGTGGATCTAGCCAATTCTTCAGCACTGCGCAGATCCGCGAGTGGCAACACAGCACAGCTTGGCAAGGAGGGGGAGGAGGAGGAGGAGGAGGAGGAGGAGGAGGAGGAGGAGGAGGAAAGGAGAAAAGATGAGGAGGAGGGGGATGAGGACGCGACGAGGGAGGAGGAGGAGGAGGAGGAGGAGGAGGAGGAGGAGGAGGAGGAGGAGGAGGAGGCGGAGGAGGTGGAGGGGGAGGAGGAGGAGGCGGAGGGGGGGGAAGAGGAGGAGGGGGAGGAGGAGGAGGAGGAGGAGGAGGACGAGGAGGAGGAGGAGGAGGAGGAGGAGGAGGAGAGGAGGAGGAGGAGGAGGAGGAGGAGGAGCATGAGGAGGAGGCGGTGGGAGAGGAGGATGACGACGACCGACGTGGCCTGGAGGTTTCTGAAGGTGCACAGGCAGTGTAGTGCACACAGGCGCTGAGGTGTTGTTGGGCAGACTGTTGCCACTGCTGCAGCAGCTGGTGGTGCACAAAGGCGCGGTGGTGCGTATGCGGTGTGCACAGGCGCTGTGGTGCACG